ACGGCCCGATATATAAATCTATTGTTTACCACGGAGTTTCTATTAAAGACATTAATTACCTTTCTATGATTACGCTTGTCTCGAATAACTGCTACAGAATGCTCAAAGAGTAGATAAATCACAAAGGTAGCAAAACACGCTGAGATAGGCTGCTAGTTAGCAAGTCGATTTACAACCTGAATGAGATTACTATTACGGCAGAAATATGATCGTCGTAAGTTTGTTAACTCGCAAAGCACTTGACCAGGGGTAGTATAACTTTGCAGCACACCCTTTAGCAACCTTGCTTTCTCTTGCGTGTCCGCTGACATATAACAACAGAGTGTTATAATGTCTGCCTAGTCTTGGAATCCTTTCAGTTTCACTATTGAAGCGCGACTCCGTGGTGGCGCTCCTTTATCTGTTTAGGTAACGTGGTACGACGGTCATTAACGTCTTGGGTCTTAAATAGGCCTTTAACTTGATCTGTATCATCTCGGGCAACTTGGGGTCATTTCTTAGCCTTTCGTTGATGAATCCGAATGTGACGTTCTGTTTGAGAAACTCCTCTACGGCAAACTGGGTGCTTTATAGAAGAACCTTGGTTCAATATTCATTATGGCACAAGGGGAAGCTCACTCAGTAGCCTCTTGTTGAGATTCGGTTCCAATCTGAGCAGCATGCTTTTGGAAACCAGAATTAAGAACACGAAAGGAACTAGATGCTGCGACATTCAAGTACTAACGTAGTATACGTTATATGGAAAGGAGGGTGTTTATGGTTTCTATTCTTAAGTAGCATCTACCTTGGGTGACGATATCACTAATTCTACAACATAAAAAAGGAGGAGATACAAGCAGTCATCCTCACTTTTCTTTTCTTTTTACAAACAAAGGCATTCGTTCAAACCTAACGGCTTTGCTTTGTTTAAGCTCGTCTCGTGACTTCAGTTCGTAAAGCGTTGTATAGATGATTTAGGTAGCTTGCCCCTTTTCTTTATAGTACGGCCGCCCATGCACCATAGTTGGTTTTGAATCTCTTGAAGATTGATTGGGCGAAAACGCCGCTAAGTCTCTAGACCCGGCCAAGATGGTCCGGCATAACTAGTAGTAGACTAGCCACCACCGCCACAGTAAATTCTGGGGTTTTCTCTTGCTGGGCCCGTTGTATGGGAAACGAGCTCCGACCAATGATATTCACGCAATTGGAGATAAGAACTCCTATTTAGGCAATTTGAAGAGGCTCTCTGTACTTAAGTCCGAGCCTCGAATCTCGCCTCGCACCAGAACTGCACATATTTTATCTTAGCTTGGAGTGAAGGTGATAAACATAACACGGGTTTTGTTACAATTTCTAATCTGCAGCTACCTATGGTCAAGCTTGAGGCGGAATAAGTGTTGCCTGGCTCACGGCGGCGCATCGCTATCTATCTCCTCCGATTCTGTGGGGTTGCGCATGGCGTTCCGGCTTTGTTAACGCACCGCAAGCGGGGCTGCTTCTACGTTTGTTCGGGTCAAAAAGCTTACTTCGACCACCTCCTGTCCCTGCTTTAGTGGCTTACGCGCGCTGTTCCACATCTTAGCCCGCAGTTGGCGCGTTTCCGCCGATTCACTAGCTTTTGAGCAGATGCGGATTTTCATCTTGACCGTTTCTTCTTAGCCACTAACATACTATAGAACCTAAGAATAGCCAGGGCGGGAGTGGGGTTGACAAGAGATCGCGCGCTTTATAGAAATAGTAATAATCTACAGCAAAATTGGCCGAGGCCGTAAGGCGTTAAAAGGATTAAAGTGTGTGATCGTTTGGTGACCCCACTCCTAGCGTTGCCTGCCCTGAAGACTAAACATCAAGAATGTCTATCATAGCCGGCTCGTATATCGTGAACTTTTTGACGTGGCCCCCTGTGCCGCGTGGCCTTCTTATACAAGCCTGGGCTAGCCCTATCCAAATCCGGAAAGTAGCATACCGCTCATTGAATAATTACAGTCTTGATTGCTACTTACACTATGATTGTAATGTCTTAGTGCTGAGACTTGCTAAGATATTCAATGCGCGCGAGGGACTGGAGGAAGTCCTGATACGGCCGTTAGTTAGCGCACATATTCCTGGGTTTTAGCGGTATCTAGCGTGACGGCTACTAGTGTAACCTGCATCTACACTACCTACTAGATAGAAGAATCGATTCTTAATTTTTTTAGTTGCTGTTCGCACAGTATCACTAATAGCAGAAACATGATCGAGGCCTGTAATCAAGCAAAAATGGCCGAGACAATGAACGAGTGATGCTTCGTGGCTCATAAATGCGTGCTGTGACTGAACTAAAGGTTGGCGGCAAATGATGAAAGCACGGGATAGCTTGGGTGCTGGTACCACTTAGAAAAATTTACGGAATTTCCATCGAGTCTTGTCCATTCTAATACCTAGTCATGAATTAGCTGTAGCTGAAAGGTGTACGCGCATGCCGACTCAAGTGCTACTATATGGAGCATGGCAGTGTTCTTGGGGTAACGGCACTTCCTTCCTTCTGGTCTAGATGGGGACCAGGGTCATTATAACTCTTGACATATTTCACATATCCTTACCTAGATAGGACTAACTTTCGATTCGGCCGATGGTTCCGGGACTTGACTATCCTCACTAGATGGCGTTGTTTCGATCATCATCTTGTCAATTCGTATTGCACCATGCCGTGATATGTAACTTTTTTGTATATATAAAACCTTCTTCCGTGGCTGAAGAATCCCTCAATCAGCATCTCCAATCTCACAAGTTATCCAGTATATCCTCCAGACGAACCAACCTCCCAATCTCAGAAATACTCAACACAAACTTAAAGATACTCAACCCAACAAGAAACATGTACAGCAACAAGGTTCTCATGCCTCTGGCCGCCCTCGCGGGTACTTCTGTAGCCCAGACTGTCGCTAGTTCAATCTGCGATGTGAGCAGGAGTGGCCTCATGAATGGTGGTCCTACAGTTGCTGCCGAACTCTACCCTTACTTGGGCACTGCTCTCGGCGGCACCGTCGGAGCTTCTGCCACTTCCACTTCCGGATCTGCCTCGACTACAGAACCCCCAACTCTCTTGTCGGACCCTGAGAAATACGTGAGCGAGCTTTGCTCCATTGCCGCCACGATTCCTTCCTCGTTGTTATCCGACTACTCAAGCTTTGGCGCAGCACTTCTCGCACATGGTGCCTCCCAACTCACCGCGTACGACAACTACGTCACCGACTGTATAACCACTGGAACGGCCGCCGCTAGCATCACCAGCTATCTCAACTCCATCCTCACTGGCACGGATCCCCTCTGCCAGGCCACGAGTACTCCCGTCACCAGCGCCGCTTCTTACCCTGTTGCGACGCCCACCGGCTACAATTCGACCACCAACGGCACTTCTACTTCCTCTTCGATCCCCACGGCTGCCGCTGCTAGGCCCGCCAGTGCCGTTGCCGGCGCTGTGGCTATGGGCGGCCTTATCGGTGCCGCTGTCCTCATGTAACCAACCATGATGATTTTCTAGGGAATCTAGATCATGCTACTTCATGCTAAAGTTCTTCAAATTGGGAGTAGCAAAAAAGATTGAGAGCTTTTAATTCTCGCCAACGCTTTCTTTTTCTTCAGGCACGAGTTGATTGCAAATCAAGCTCACTATGTAATTATTGATATGGTTTGGTGTATAGAGGGGTAATAGGCGGCTTTTCTTTGCGAGGATTCTGCTAGATTAGTCAGTCAATTCAAAGTTTATAGATTTCCTTCCCAGCTAAGATTTCAATGTTCGATAAGCACTGAAGAGTAACACTAAGCGCATATAATGTGACCTCTCAGTTGTAGTAATGGCTGCTTATATCCCAATGCGCTGACTAATTTGTCTAGAAGATAAGCTCTTTCAAGCCCTTCAGTAAAATAATATCACAATAACAACGATCACAATATGGGCTGTCGCTCACGTTGCCACAACAAAAATCTATTCGACCTTTATATCTTTTGGGCTGTCAACATGCTAGCGTACTAGCACTTGAGCTTTTGTTCTACTTATGTAACTAGCCGCTTCATTCATAGCTATCCGTCTCGCAGGAAGGAAATCGCCCATCGCAGGACAGGAAAAAGTTTATCCCTCTATAATGATTCTGTATTTTATCTGCTTGTCGCCCTATTCGGTGATCGAGGTTCTTATCATTTCCATAATTAGATACCTCTCCATAGTTCCTCACTGCTGCTTAGATAAGTAAGCTAACCATAATCAAAGTGACACTTGGCGTCTAGTAAAATGGTATTGCTTCCCACTATTTCCTTTAACTAGGTATTAGTTAAGCTGTAAAGACTCTATATCTACAGTTAAATTCGATCTAGCTATGTGCGGGCTGCAAAGTCCTGTGTGTCATCTTTCTGTCCTCTTCTCTTGTTTTGAGAAGCTAGAGATTCTAAATTAAGTCTTCTCTATTTTCGTAATACCGCCACAACTGCGACTAGCCGATCAGACCTTAGTTGTTAGGTACAAGTGTGCACTGAACTCACTTATAAGTAGATATATGTAGCATAGTGTTCGTGGATCTGTTTTAGACTTGGAATTACATCATCTATTTCAGACCTCTTAATACAGACCCTTGACATTACTACTACGCCCTGTCCTTTTAAGTTCGGTAGATAACGGGTAAAGCAGACTTTTTTTTTACGGGTTTGCATTCTATTAGTATCTCCGCAACGTCAATCTCTTCACTCCAAACGACCGTTCTATGATAGTCCATGTTTTTTTTGCTCATCTTATTTTCTATATTCTTGTTTCTTTTTTCCTGTAAACCTTTGCTCTTTTTCTTTATGTCCTCTGATTCGTGATAGCGGTCCGGGTCCGGTTTTTGAAATTTCCTGATAGTAATTTACGTAATGATGATTAGTCTGATTTTGGTTAGGCATAGACTAGTTTGGCCTAGAAGAACTATAACGTAATTACATAATATCGTGAAAAATCAGAATAAGAAAAAATTATCGATGATCCTTGATACATCATATGATGTGCCATTCGACCTCGGCCGGATTCGAACCGACAATCTTCAGAGAATAATTTGTCGTCCTTTATTTATTTGAACGACGAGCCGAAATCTGACGCCATGCCATTAGGCCACGAGGCCACAACCGTTGACGGTAGTGGATAGAGATGGCGCGCTCTATCGGGGATTCAACCTCTGGGCTCAAGAGCAGTAGAGTTTTTTATGAATGGCTGTTTGATTTTGAAGGCATTCCATTTTGGTCCGTAGAGAGTTTGTGTGCATCTTAGTTGGTTGGTCGTGTTATAGCGGCGAGGTGGAGTAGGTGAAATTTTATAGCTTCAAGATCCTCCAGCTCTACATGTTAAGTTTATGTCTCTAGGGGGTAAAAGTATGTAAAGACTAGCCTTTTACCCTTCTTCCCGGTGGTGTGCCATTCTATACCACATCTTACCTTATTCGACTACATTAACAGCGGATCAGAATAAGATTCTTGTATTGTTAGGACTATAAGGTAACCGACTGGCTCGCGGGCCACACGGCTACGGTCCGCCTGTTTTACATACAAATCAGCAAAACTTCAATAATTAATTAAAAGGTGGAGAAAAATGCTAAAAATAAACCGCTAGCAGATTAAAGATCCAAAAAATCGAATTAAAGTATAAAAAAATTAAAAGAATAATCCATTAAATATTCATTATTATATTAATCGATTTATATTTAATCTGTTAGTGTAATTTGCTGTACTAACAACTTTGTATGTATTTTATTAGCAAATCTGCTAGCACTGTGAATAGTTCAGCCAAGCATATACTTTTAAAGCTAAGTTTTTAGTGGGCTATAAGTGGGGTACAAAATTGAAAAAATTATTTTTGGATTACTGTTTAAAAACGGTATTTTAATATTTAAACGGCTTATTTTTATGATTTTAATTCATTAAGATAGTTTAAAAAACAAATAAAATAATTATATATTTTTTAAAAAATTTAACGTGTAGATTTATACAGTGTAGAAACTGTACAAATGCTTCATATAAAAAATAATATTAAAAATAAACAATTTTAAATCATAATATTATATATTAACTTGAATAAAAAAGGTAAAAATAAGCCGCTAAAATATTAAAATACTATTATTAAACAGTAATCCAAAAATAATTTCTTTAATTTTGTACCCCACTTATAACCCACTAAAAACTTAGCTTTAAAAGTATATGCTTAGCTGAACTATTCACAGTGCTAGCAGATTTGCTAATAAAATACATATAAAGTTGTTAGTACAGCAAATTACACTAACAGATTAAATATAAATCTATTAATATAATAATGAATATTTAATGGATTATTTTTTTAATTTTTCTATACTTTAATTCGATTTTTGGGATCTTTAATCTGCTAGCGGTTTATTTTTAGCATTTTTCTCCACCTTTTAATTAATTATTGAAGTTTTATTCGATTTGTATGTAAACCCCATACAAAACAGGTGGCCCGCAGCCGTGTGGACCGCGAGCCAGTCGGTTACCTTATATACCATAATACGTACAGACCTTGTAATACACTTATTAGCTCAACCTTTTGCGATATTTGCTACAACAGCTAAGTCGTTTATACCTGTAACAAGTATTCATGTTAAAGCTTATATTTTAAGCGTACCTTTTAGCTTAAATTAAATTATTACTTAATAAGATCATGACTTTATTATAATTACTATTTCTCTTTTTTATAAACGTTAGCACGTATTTTTATTAATTATCTCTGTCTTTAAACTACTTATCATAGTAGATAAGATTTGTATGTATGTATATTACCTACGACTTAAGTGGTCTAAGAAGTAATGGTCCCAACTAGGTGATTCGACTTATCTCACATCTGGAGCTATAATATGGCCACCAGCTACTATCTCTATTGAATCTGACTGTTCTCTTTTTCCGTAATCAACTCACATTCTTTACCTTAGACTAATTAACTTCGGATTCTCATCTCCCTTGTCGTATTCGAAACCCCTAAATCGACCCTCGATGTAAGATTAAAGATATATAAAAAATTAAGTCTCCTTAAAGGAACCCTTTGAAATTAAGTCATAAGCTAAACCTAACATTAACATTCTGTCTATATAGGTAGTCTCTAAATTCATTAATTAAAACAATGTATGAAGGAGAATAGGTCATATGTTACAACAAGTCGAACATCTTTTCTAACCAACACGTGATTCACTATATCTAAGTCTCTTCACCCAGATGGCCAGCAACGACCAAGTGGCCCCCGGTGTCATAAGGTTCGAACTCTACCAGCAGCTCGCGGGCGCTCTTTTCCATATCATCCTGACTTTCGCGATAACTTCCGCCCTCAGGCCGTTTGTTCAGTCCGTGGAAGACATATGCCAGAGCACTATTACCCCACAGCACCATGTCTTTCCGCTTCGTTTCGAAGATAACAGCAACTAGTAATAATAGAGTGGCGACGAGCTCAAAAATTGGAAGAATCAGCCATTCCCACACTACAACAGCACGGCTGTTGGATGCAAAAGCTTTTCCGCTAACGGGAGCCGGCTGATATTTGATCGTCCGAAAATTGAGGGAAAAGCTATTGGCAAGATTGCCCATGAGGTCCTGGAAACCGGTTGATGAGGTGTTCATTGCCATATAGATAAATTCCGAAATAGAATTAGAGAAAAAGGGAGTTTTTGCGTCTTTGGGATCGTAAGCGTCGCCACCAGGATCGGACTGAGCCAATTCAAGGTTCCATAAATCGCATCATTCTTGACAACAAACTCAACTCCCTTAGGTGATCGGAGAGTCAGGTCGGCGGCCCCATTGTCGTCATGGCCTTGTGGAAATTGTGATTGTTCCGTCCACTCCGAGAGCACGGTTTCCTGCAAAACCCCGTTGACAAAACTCGCTTGCATGGTCCGGATACAATACTGGAGTAAACACTCCAGAGCTATCGGTGGGGCGGAAGGAAGCGGGGCCGTGTCATCATTATTGTCATTTACACCGATCTGAATGGGAACGGTACCATTAGGTGCACCCACGGCCAACATGCTAAACAATTTCGAACTGTTGCTGTTGAAGGCGACAGGTCCCCATAACCGGGACGTGGTAAAATTCAAAAGAAAAAGGCCGCCGCTAGGTAGGTAGGGATATTGGAGACCGAATCCGTTCGGGAGCTGGTACTTAGTCATACCATCGACTTTGGTGGCTTTGAGCTTATCTGTTATATTTTGACAAGTTTTGCATATACCCAGACTCTCGTATGAGTCCCATGTACAGTTGCCAGTTGAGCAATAGGCCGTCGCCGTGAAGTTGGTACGAGCAGGGCTGTACAGCGCCCTGTATGGAGCAGAGAGCAACTCAGGATCAACACCCTCAGTAGAACCCTGATTTCCGATAATATATGCTGACCCAGTGCCGTTTACATATCGTGCGATTGGTATCGAAGCATCCGCAGTGTGAGTGTACCACGGCTCAAAATGCAATGCTTCCTGGAAAAAGGTATGCATGGCAAGCGCCGCTATGGCGACCGCAGCCCCGGACGATCCTATCCATCTAGAAGAGGTCAGAAGTGTTGTTCGGGGTTGCCAACAGTTCATTACATCGGCGAGCATCGCGAGTGAAGTGACCTATGAGACAATGACAGTTGATGGGAAACACGTACCCTCCTTTTCGAGCAGCGAGAAGCTGTACGCCACCCCATGGTCCCCGGCTTGCTGCGTCTATGACGCGGAAGTCGTCAATAGGCCTTTTCTGAAGCGAACGTAGCCATTTGACCTGCCCAATCGCAGAGTCGATTGGTTTCAAGAGGAGAGACTGGGCGAATGTGGCCAGCAGCCCAATGATAGCGTTAGGCGTGATATGAAGATACTGTAGATCTGAAAGCAGCTTGCCTTTCACATATATCAGAATACCAACGATAGCGATGAAAAAGGCGAGACTGCCAAACCAGCTAAAGATCTCGCCTTTCCACGCTAATAAGAAGAATAGTGATTGGGAATTCTGCTTAGATCTTATACTGATAGGGTGCGCAACTGGGTCAACATTTTGATGAGGAGATTTCGGATCGGGATTGTAGTTTAACAAGAACTCGCCTTTCTCGGCTTCTCGGGGATTATGTTCCATGATTGAATGACTGTCGTCCTCAGAGTGGTCTTCGATGTCAAGGTTGGGGATAATTCCTCGTTGCGGAGCAGGAGGGCATAACTAAATGCGAATGATCAGGACTCTCAGACATTTCTGGTAAGAGCTAAAATTAGTAGGTTAGATTGCAGTGTAGCAATAGCCCAAGGAGCTGAGTTTGAGATTGAACGAACACACGAAGGATGCATGTAGGACTTAGGACAGAGAACACACTACAATGTCCTCAATGCTCGTTACAGAAACATCTATCTTCTTCATGGTCTTACATTATCCTTTCTTGTTTTTTTTTCTTTTTTTTAACAAAAAAAAAAAAGACTAACACGAGAAATCGACTATATTCCTATACCCTTAAGTCCCAAGTATGGGTGCTTGAGTAGAAATCATTGTAGTAATAGGTAAGCCCACCCGACAACCCCTGCATCTCAAGTCCTAGACTAACAGTCCTGTCGACCCAATCATGCGTTCTTTTGTAAATGTCATAGGGTTTAGCCTCTAGAATAAAGTCAAATTACTAGTAGGTAGCAACTAGGTTGCAGTATAGGATAAGGGCTCAATGTGATTGATTCCTAAGTCTCCTCTTAAGGTAGAGGAGACCAGGCTCTTATATAGCGAAAACTAAGGCTCTTCTCCACCGTTGGGTTCATTATAGCTTTTGCGGCATTGACTTGCTCATCTCAGATGATTCTGCTGCTATCGATTTCCAACAATAATCAATCTAGTATCTCAAATAATCTCTACGTTTTATGAATAGGTGCCTATTACTAGCTCGAGTGCGTATTGCTCAACTAACCTCCCTAGCTAGGGCTCGAGCTTTTGGCCGTTACCTTGAATTGTCTGTGTTTTGTGAATATCTACAATCGTTGTCATATCTAGGTGCATGGAGCATGGAGCATGCTATATGCTTGGGATCTAAGTCAGAGTCAACTTTGTCGCTAGCTAACCTCCCCAAACCAATTTACATCGGGACAAACCGTAGCATCTCCAGCAACTATGCCCACCTTTCTAAACCTCT